TTTTTTGTTTGTGTGTTTTTTAAACAGCTAACGTGGATAGAGAGAAATACTTTTAACTGATGGTATATGGGGGGGATTATAATCAATGTAATGAAACAAGTTATATGAATTGTTGAATGTGAAACTGATGATGTGCTCTGTAAATTTTTACTCAATCCACAATAAAAACCTTAAAGTAAATTAAAAAAAAACTGATAAAACTATTGATATATGGCACAACATAGATGAATTGTAAATGCACCACATTTAACTGAAAAAAGCTAACCTCAAAAGATTACATACTATTTGATTCTATTTATATGACACTCAGGGCAAGGCTAAACTATAGGGAGGATAAACAGATCAGTGGCTGCCAGGGTTCAGTGTTAGATGGCAGATTTAATTACAAAGGGCCAGCACAAGGGATGGAAAGATTCTGTATCTTGATTGAATGATGGTTACATCAATCAATGCATGGGTTGAAACTCAGAACTGTACATCATGGAAAAAGTGAATTTTACTCTATACAAAAGCACCCACTGCATACACAGCATAAGCTCCTTACAGTATCTCTATCTCTTTGTCAGTTTACCATTGTGGGAAACACAAAAGTTAAGTGGTTGTGGTGTATGATGGTGAAAGGGAGGGGGCCCTGCCATGCCAGGTGGTCTGTAGAAAGTGCATTGTAAAAAGCCCCAAGCCAAGATCCCACTGTGTTCAGTTGACTCTCATTCATTGTGACCCTCTGTAGGGAACAGCCTCACCTTTCTCTTGCAGAGCAGCTGATGGGTTTGAAGCACCAATCTTGCAATTTGCAGTCCAATGCTTGACTCCTGGTGTGGTGTTGTAGGATAAGCACCAGATTGTGACCCACAAGGCTAGAGGTTCAAACCCCACCAGCCACTCCTCAGAAGCCCTGTACAGGGTCACTATAAGTGACCTTATAATTAATTTAATAGCCTGACCCACAATGCCACCAGGGCTTTGTAGAAACCCAGTTTCTTTCAATTCTCTCGTGGGGACCTATATGTGTCAGAGCATAACTGTTCACCATAGGAGTTTGAATGGCTGATTTTTCAGAAAGATTACCAGGTTTGTCTTTTGAAATGCCTCTGGGTGGTCGTGACTTTCCAACCTTTCAGCTTTAGCACTTTTGTTTATCAGTTAGCAGCCAAACATTTCAACTTTGGCACCACCCAAGGACTCCAAGTATATTATAATGCTGATGTTAACTGCTGTCAAGTTGATTCTTACTCATAGTGAACCTGTATAGGGTTTCCAAAGAGCAGCTGGTGGGTTTGAACTGCAGACCTCATAGTTCAAAGTCCAGTGCTGATCCTACAGCACCACACTATGAGGCCAAGTACATCATTATTGTTGTTAAGTGCTGTCGACTAGGTTCCGACCCATAGCGATCCAGTATAAGGTTTCTGAGGAGCAGTTAGCAAGCTTGAACTGCTGCCCTTGTAGTTCAAACCAACTGTGCAGACCATTGCAATAAATTGCAATGCCACACCAGGACTTCCAAGTATGTTGTTGTTAAGGGCTGTGGATTCGGTTCCAACTCACAGCGACCCTGTACAGGGTTTCCGAGGCTGTAAATCTTTACGGGAGCAGAAAGCCTCGTCTTTCTCTCACAGAACAGCTGGTAGTTTCGAACTGCTGACCTTGCGGTTCGCAGTCTGATTCGTAACCACTTACGCTACCAGAGCTCCTTAGAGGCTCCTTACCTGGTGCCAAATTTAGCATGCTAGAAAATAGGAAATGATTTCTGTAGAAAATTCCTTTATTATAGTGCAAATAACTTTCAGCAGTGACATAATAATGTAAGAACACATTTAGCAACATTTTACACCACGCAGTAAATAAGAAAGTGTTTCTTCGAAAATATGTCCTAGGAACAGTATTTCTACATTAGTGCTGAAAAATGTCAAGGCGGTTTTTTCTCAAGGCAACAGGGCTCCCTCCCTCTTTTTGGATATATCTTTCAAAATAAAAAATGAAAGGATTTGCCATCTTAACAAATCACCATCAATTTGAAAAGTGATTTCTTAATGGGGTTTGAACCAAGATGGGCACGATTTGAAATGGGTTTCAAGAAAAAAAAAAAATTCTGGATAGTCCAGGAAAGTAAAAGTCACTCATATTAACTTGAAAACGGATATACACATTCACTCCAATTTTGCTGCAGAAACAGACAGATTGTCTAAAGCCTGCCTTTCCCCCTCCCCCCACAGAGCTTGATTGTTATTTATACACCTTGGTTTTTGGTCATATCACAAAACTAGGGCTCTGGTCAGAAATAACTCTTTATATACCCAAATGCTTTCCTGTGAAGCCTTTAAATTGCACTTTCTATCCTGAAATTCCCACCTTAGGTCTCACATGCCATTGAGAGGATGTGACAATTGTCTACAGTTTACAGCAAACAATTAGTGCTGCTGGGTTGTTGTTATGTGCTGTGGAGTGGAGTCAGTTCCAACTCATAGAGACCCCTGTACAGGGTTTCCGGGGCTGTAAATCTTTATGGGAGCAGAAAGTCTCATTCTTCTCCCTATTAATTTAGATATACCTGAATCAAACCATCACATCATTTAGATTACATACCAACTGGCTTATCCAAGCGTCCCAGTGACCTCATAGAGCAATGAAGGGGTTAACATTCCCTTCAGGCTACCCTGCCTAAGGGCTTGCCTGCTAATGAGTTAGCTGATAGGTAGAAAGAACTGAGTGTCAATGCCAATCAGTTACACTCCCAGCTCCTCTAGTTTCCACTGAATTATGTAGTGGGTGGGAATGGTTGGCTACTCAAAGGAGACCACCCATGGGGATCTTCCACCAGAAGTAGAATCAAAACCCCTACACATATTCTCTCAGGGTGTCCTCTGAGTTTCTCTCCAAACACAGCTTCAAAATTTAGCATCTTTTCAATCCCATGAGAAATTTAATCACATGTTTGAAAACACCTGGAGCCACGGAACAGCCCTCTTGGCCGAATCCGGCTGATTAAGTCAGCTGGTACATAAAGCTTTTCAATGCACAGGAGATCTTGTTGGATAAAATTGCTTCTTATATAATACAATGGAACCGTGCACTAAACAAGTTTCAAAGTTGAGAAGCATCTAAACATATCACCTGTTAAAAAAGTCACGATTTTAGTTTTGCTTTGTTTTTTTTAGACTTTGGTACTGAAACACTGTCTACATTCTTGACACGTGAAAATGACGTGGCCACTTCAGTGCCTCTGCATGTTGTGTAAAAAACTCAAAAGCAAAGCTGGACAAGAACATGGCATAGCAAGACGCAGTATACGGCACAAACAAAACCTAAATTATATATAAATACAGCCCCCCCCACCCCAGCAACCCTTCCTTCCCCAACTACCTGACCAAAGCAATGCCGAAGGTCCTTGTCTCTAGGGACAGCGCAGTTAGTGAAGTCCAGCACCCAGGATTCCCAGTGTCCCTTGCCTTGTAGTGATAGTTACAGCTCCACACGCTCCCAGTAGAGATGGGTGCTATAACTGTCTGACCAGTTCCGCAAATATTAAAACTCCTACAGCTACATTTGAAGCAGCCACACACTAGCTGCACGCTAAGATCTCGAGTCCCAGGTGTTAACCTTTGAAACTAGCTAACTGGATTGATTATTCCCTAATTGGAATCATGTGTGATCCTAGTAGTTCAGCAGTCAATAGAGCAGAAGTGGCCTCTGGGCTCTGAAGCTCCAAAGGCATTGTTGAGGCATACTGACTGGTGAGGGTCATGTATAAGAGAAGTTATACAATGAGCTAACAGCTTAAATTGATATAAATTATTTCCAAGTAAGTTATCTGGGCCATTTGCTTCTGCTTTACATTGAATTCCAGAATCATTTTTAGATTATACTTTTAAGTTTATATACTAGTCCATTTAAACAATTGTCTATGCAATCACCTCTTATGTATTTTCACTTAATTTAATAACAACTTAATGAGCTATTATGTAAATCTAGGGAAAAGTAGCTAATTAACCTTAAGGAAGCCAATACTGTGCTAACTCACAGTAAGGAAAGAAAGCAATGTAAATAGAGTTTGACATCTCCGTCAATAACTTGAAAAGCAGTTTTATCTAAATGTTGCAAAGTTTTCCCCAAAGCACTTATAGCAATTTATATCAAGACATCCTAAGTTTAGGGGTATGGAGAATACGATTCCATTTTCTTAAGGTAGAAAGTTATCTGTTTCATGATGTAATACATAATTCCCCATGGTGTTGTTAGGGGCCGTTGAGTCGGTTACAACTCATAGTGACCTTATGCACACCAGAATGAAACACTAACTTCCTCACAACCCCCCATGGACCTAAGATAACTGTACATTCAAAAGTTACTCATTGTTCTTGATGTTCAGAAGCATTGCTCATTCTCTAGTACATACACTGAGTATAAATAAATAACTACAAGGAGGTTTTAAAAATCTGAATTAACATTATGCTGTGCAAAAAAAAAACAAACAAAAAAACCCCCAAAACAAAACACCAACAAACATACCTTGAACAACCTACATTCTATGTAAATACCCTGACTAAATGTGGGTTGTGCTACACAATTCCACTTCAGTGCAGACGATAGTTGATTTCGATGTACCGTTGTTGATTTTTTGTTTGTAAGTCTTTAGCACTTTTGTTTTTCAACATCATCGAAAAGATTAATAAGTTGCTACCAAATAACAAATCCATTTACGTTTAGTCTGAATAAAATCCAGCATAAATGTGTATTTTCTTTTATTGTTGTTGTTGTTCTGGGGATAATGGCTCGGTGTCTTTGTCCCAAGAGCTTTCCTCCTAAGGGCAGACCATGGTTGAAGCTGTCATGTTGAGTTTAAACTGCACAGAAAGAAGAGACAGTGAAGCCTGCCTTTTGTTTTTGTTGTCTTTGAAAGTCTCGAGCTCTTGCTAAGACAGTTCTTACAGACCAATAGTCAGATAGTTGTGGCCCCTTATCCTATTTGAATTAGAGGTGGTTTAAACATCAGCCGAGCTTAGTGATCTGAAGATCCCCGTTTATCTTTATGGTGTCAATTGCAGATAATGTTTGAATGCGGTGGTAAAAATCAAAAAGTTGGTGTCCATCCACAAACACTCTGAACCGTGGGTGCTCACAAAGAATTTCCACCTGTCAGAAACAAAATAACAGTCTCAGTTCACAATTTCAATGCACTGTGCTAAACAAAGATAAAAATACAAGAGTTCACTTGAGAGGGAGAAAGGCAGTATATTCTTCACCAGCGGGTCTCATGCATCAGGGTGCACTGGAATCATCAACAAAATTTCCAATTCAGTAGGTCTATAGTTTCTAGGGTGCCCTGTTGGCAGAGTGGTTAAGTGCTCAACAAATCAGAAGGTCAGCAGTTCAAACCCATTGGTCCCTCCACGGGAGATATGGCAGTCTGCCTTGGAAACCATCTGGGTCAGTTCTACTTTGTTCTGTAAGATCACACTTAGTCAAAGTCAACTCCCTGGCAAGGGAAGGGTGTGGTCTCAGAATGTGCATTTCCACCAAGTTCCAAGGTAAGACTGATGTTGCTAGGGTGGGAACACACTTTGAGAACTATTGCTCTACAATAGTCTGAATCCTTTAAAGACTTTGAACTGCTTATACTTTTAACCATGGCTCTCTCCTCGATACACTACAGAAAGTGGTATGAAATAATCTTGATTTACTTATATAACACTTAATATTCCCTGAACATTTCTATCCCACTTTCTGAGAAGCCACATGAGGCACAGGTGGTACCCATCCATGGCATGTCATAAGTCTAGGCACTCAAACATGGTCAACACTAAAGCAGGGGGATTACATAGTAATTACCATGGTACCAGTGATGTGTCATTAACAAGGCTTTGTTAAGCCAAACAGAAATACTGATTTATATGGTCAAAGCTTTTTCCTTAACCTAAGTATTTCACCATAGTTTAATGATTAGTTCTGTGGTATGTATTTATTAAAAGCATTGATATTCACCATGTAAGAGACTCTACATGTGACATTAGTCACATTTAATTCATATTATTACTAAAATTATATCACCAGGAAGGGCCTATTCCACTTCAATTTTGTTGTTGGGGAGCATTTACATTCATCTTGGCAGTCATAAGCGCTGGTTACTCACACTCATTACGCAGTAAAATTCATTATTAAGAAGCTGTCGAAGCCATGAGGAACCCAAGGGGACAGTACCATCCCAGAAAAGGGGGGCTACAGGTACGATCCCCAGATTCTGATTTGTTATTGCTATTGTTTAGTGCTGTCAAGTCAGTTCAGACTCATAATGACCTACAAAGGGTTTCTGAGGAAGAGCTGGTTTGAACCACCAACCTTGTTAGCAGTCCAGAGCTAATCTTGCAGTGTTACACAAGGATTCCAGATTAAGACTGTTGTTACTGTTAAGTGCTATGGAGTTATAACTGACTCATAGAGACCCTATATAGAGTTTTCTGAGGCTGTAAATCTTTGTAAAAGCAGAAAGCCTCATCCTTTTCCCACAGAGTGACTCTGGTGAGCATGAACCACTGGCCTGCGGTTTGCAGTCTGGTCCTTAGCCTGAGAAGCCACACCAGGACTCTAGATTATGATTGCTGTTGTAATGTGTTATTGAGTGAATTCCAACTCAGTGACCCGACAGAGGGTATCCAGGACCAGCTGGTGGGCTTCAACCACTAGCCTTGTAGTTAGCAGTCCAGTGCTTATCCTACAGCACCATACCGTAACTACAGACTATGACCGTTGTTGTTGTTAAGTACTGTTGAGTCGGTTCTGATTCATAGCGACCTTTGTAAAGGGTTTCCAAGGAGCATCTGGTGGGTTTGAACTCCAGTGCTTATCTTACATCACCGTGTCAGGACTCCCTGTACTGTGACTGGTTGGTAGGTAAATGCCTTCGTGTGGATTCCAACTTCTAGCGCTTCAGTACAGGGTTTCCAAGGAGCGGCTGGGCAATGTGAACTGTTGACCTTGTGGTTCAAACCAACTTTGTAGTCCAGCACATGAGCCCACAGCACCACATCAGGAGCCTCATGATTAGAAAGGCAAAAATGCCAACTCCTGTCATTGATGTGATTATGTAATCCTGGACAAGTAATGGATTCTTCCCCCTCCCCAGACTGTGCAATGGGAAGATAAATCATTATTTCTTCCTAAGGCCCTTGTAAATTTTTAGATGAAAAGCAGTGGGTTAAGTATAATTCTGCTTTATTAGCCTTTTATCTGACAAAGAAGTTTTAAATGAGTTGGGTTGTCATTATTGTGATGGATGTTAACAAGATGTAATGCAGACAACTTCATCACCAGCTCCAACATTAGCGAACATTTCTGAACACATTACTGACTGACATCTCTTTTTTGGCACTGTCCTTCGTAGAGGAAGGCGCTGCTCATCATGCCTAGTGGCATGAGAAGTCTGAGTTGGGCCTCCTGCCCCACTAGATTGTGACGAGCAAATCTAAACTCATGCAGGCCCAAGGGAAGGAAGCTGTCAGTGGTACCGCCTATGACCACGAAACGGACGGGAGACCAACTAACCCAGAGGCGGAAGCAACTATATGGCCATGGCTTTAGCAGCAAAGGGAATAAAGAAAATGAAATGAGAACCACTTTATTCTTTAAAAGTCCAACTTATAAAATTGAGGGCTACTAAAAGGAGCTCTGGTAGCGTGGTGGTTACAAGTCAGGCTGCTGACCACGG